GTCGTCATTACATGGAGAGGGGTAATGCGATTCGAGCTATGTGGGGAACTTGACCGGTACACACTTTAACTTTTGAACAACAGAAACAACTTATAAAATAAGAAAAATGTTGACTGTATATTTCCAACAGTGTATACGTATGGGCGAAGTTGGAACTGTGGGCTACCCTATGCGCTGCTCTGCCATAATCACCGATTCCCTTCGACTCCCTGCTAGGTTACTGATCAATCGGTACCAGGTATCTGCTTCTACCCTAATTACATTTTTTGTTAAATAATATTAAAATAATATTTTTATAATGTTATTGTTTTAAATTGCTATCTAGGTATATTCGTTGACTTTTATATTCAACAAATTTTGATAAAGTTATGTTTAAAATTTTCTTATATAAATTGAAATAACAAGATATTTTCAACTCATTTCATCAAATTTCTCTTTGCCACTCATATAAAATGTTTCAGTGCATCCAAATAAAAATAAAAGAAAATTTTTCAAATATATTTGAAATAATAAAATTTGACTTAGACCAAAATATTGGCTCATTCCTTAATGTTCAAACACACAACACCATATATTAATAAATAAATTTGGTTACTTTGAAGTAACATATTAAGATATAACATTTGTTAATTCGAAAACATAAAATTGGATAATTAGTAACTTTTTTTTTGAAAAAGACTATATTCTCTAACTTCGTATGTTATGATATACATAGTATATCATTATTGTTACCATGTGTAACTTAAGAATTTAATTAATAAATCATATAACATGACAATTATACTAATATAACAATAAGCTATATACATAGTTTTTAAATGTTTAAAAATATATCAATGTAATTTTGTATAAAAAACATAATTATAAAAAGAAACTAGAAATAATAAACAATATGTAATAGTAATGTGTTTGACATAAAGTAATGAATAATGTGTAAGATTTTAGAGAACAAACAATAGAACATTATGAAATTAGATCATTAATGACATAAATGTAATAAATTGCAATTAATAAAGAAATAATGATAGCGTCGGTGATCACTTCTTGACTTTGAAAATACCATCAAAATTATTATAAAAAGCACAAAATAATGAGCATTCTAGCTCAGATGTCACTCTGATCATGGTCAGAATGCTCTCACTCACTCAGACGCGGTCAATTATTAAGAGGTACTCAGAACGTTAAATTGCAGTCAATCAGTCTGCACTCTATTTTCATATCAAAATATATGCGAAATGTGATCCACCGTGTCTCTATCATAATTATACAAGAAAACAACATTTATTTATTTCAAAGTGTCATTGAAAATATCTCGGTAAGAAACTAATAATTTCACCAAAAATATATAAGATTTAGAATTAAATTTTATGAGGACATAGATTAAGTAGGTATAAAGGAAAATCAAGTGATCATCAATAATAAGAAATATACCACGTAAATTTAATAAATTGATAATGTTTGTACAGAGTTATTTGGCAAAGTTATAGCTTTGATACGTGTCTATTTCAGGAGTTAGGTTGGAGGTACGTATATAGCCACCATACCACTCTGGGTAAACACACGAGGTGACTCAATTCCACCTATCATCGATAACTGTCTAAACTCGTTGCATTATTGATATTAAAGAATTTACAATTAATCATAATAAATCTCATATTAATAAAATGAAGATCAATTTATTTTTCTATCAGCTTCTACCTTTGAAAGGGCTACTGGGCTCACAAGGCCTTAACTGGTAAAAGAACAGAAACAATTTTTCCTATAATGACAGATGAATGTTAATAAAAAAATATATTATAACATTAAACTATACATAATCTTAACAGTTAATAAACATTTAACAACATTTATATTTAATTTCTCAAGGAATATATTAAATGACTTAAATCTCAATTCACCAAAATTATAAATGTATATAAATATAGATATAGATATAATATATTATTATAACTTGCCAATAGAAAAGAACAAGTTATTTACATCAATAAATACTTATACATAAGTGGCTGAGGAACACATTTATGGTTTGACTTCTTTTATTTAATTTAGCAATTTTTACTTGAGATGATGTTGCTGTGAGGCACACACATTCCGACATAAATGAGCAACCACAATTGGCCGAGAACAAAATCCACACAACGGGATTATTCAGAAGAACATATTTCTTCTAGACACATGTATCTGAGTAGCCCACAATTGGCTTAGA